AACAAAAACCCAACCCAGAGGACAAACACGGGGGGGGTGGGGGGGGGGATAGAAACGAGGGGGTTTGGTCAGCGGTGCGCGTAGGGTAACTAAACGAGACAAGGGTGATCTTGGGGACACACGTGAGGCCAAACGAGAGGGCCGGGAACGAAGTGACTCAGCTCAATTATTCACGGACATCAACAAGATAAACGCTGGTTGCAAATCCGTGGAAAGCAGCGGCAACTAAACCTCTTGGCAAGTTATCAACAAGAGCAGTGGGGCTACGGAGAAAACAGCTCCAAAACAACTAAACTCATGCATACCGCAACAACACGGGTTGTATCTACCTCTGTCAAGAATCTCGATGGCTGTCACCGCTTACAGCACCTCCCGTCCCCCACCACAACCGCCAACGAGCTTTCCATTCCTTCCCCTCTGCCCCCCTCCCCCCCCAAAAAAAAAGAAAAACTCACTCCTGAAGGAAAGACAGAGCCGCATCCCTCAAGAAGCACGCCATGTCCACCGCCGTCGCCGCCCTTGCCAGTTGATTGGTCGCCCTGTCCACCTCCATCAGCGCTCGCCGTAGACCCACGTCATCACTGCCGCCGCCGCCGCCGCTACCGCGCCCCGCTCCCCCCGGCGCCCCTCCACCACCGACTTCACCGGCCGCTGCGCCTCTTGCGCCCTCCAGGGCGGACGCATTCGCCTCGGCGCGGGCCAGGTTAGCCTTGAGCCTGTCGCGGACCTCCTTGGCCTCCTCCGCCATGAGCTTGAGGTCCTCCTCGAAGTCGTCCAGGGTGACGTACTCCTCGGCGTTGAGCTGTTCGTGGTTTGGGGTTGTTGGGGTAGTGGTGGCCGTTGCCGTTGTTGGTACTTAGGCGGCGGTGTTGGTTTTGGTGTTTCTTCGGTTCGATGACGGTTTCAAACAACTTGATCCTCCTCAACAACGCGCACACTGACCGCCAGCAGCAACTACAAGAACACGAAAAGAGTTGCTGCAAGGACGACGGAAAGTTGACAACAACGTTACAACATTGCCAAGGAAACACCCCTCGATGGTCGTTCTGCGTGTGGGTGTAGCCCCCCGTTTTGTTGCCGACACACGCTCCCCTCCTGTTTGGCGTTCTAAACACCCCTTCCCACCGTTAACAACGATACCAACAGAGCAACAGCAGTCCTGGTGGACCGAGAGCAAAACCACACGGATGGTAAGTTGACTATGTTGTTTTCGTGTGTTACTACCTGTGACTGCCCTCCCTGGCTCCAAGGCGCATCTATCTTCGCTATCTATCGCTCATGCATCTAATGTATACCTGCTTGGATCCCTTGATCTCTAGACACGCACCTTGTCTCTGATACCATTCAGGTCCATGAACTCGCCCTCGTACTGCACAGGGAGTAGTGGTGGCGGGAAATTAGAAAAAGGGCCCACAAAGACAGCGCAGGCGCAGGAACAGCAACAACGTCGGACAGGGGGGGTCGACAAGCGAAGAGAGCAGCAGCAGCAGCAGGAGCAAGAGGTGCCGCGAGGACAACGATTAATCTATCAAACACGGACTGAGGCAGATAGCGTCTTGTGTTAGACAAAAATGGTAGACTAGGATAGAATCAACACGTGTGAAATACGGCAGCAGTCCAACACAACCGGAAAACAAGGACTTGAGTGGTCTGCGAGCGCTCAAAGCACGACCGGAGGGAGCCTCGAGGTGCGGACGGTATTTTCTTGGGGTGGGGTGCACGCGGAAAGGATACTTAACAAGACACAACTGATTTCACTACTGAAGTCTACATGAGAACGGGATACAAGATGTGACAACAGCGCATGCCACGTCCTTTTCGACGGGGGACAAAATGTGTAGGAGGTGTCGAACCTACCCCCTTTGCCAGCTACATTCGCTGGGCAGGGAGGAAAAAAGAGACGGGGGTGACTAATACCTAGACTCACATCTCCGATCTGCTTGAACATGGAGAATCTCCGGTCTTTCCGGAGCTCGCCGAGAACCTGTTTCAAAGAAACAGAGGGAAAAACGAGATGTAAAAAACGGGACAAAAAAGATCGATCACAGCAGCGAATAAAGTAGGGGAAGCGCGGAGTGCAGAATCCGACTCTGGTGGCGGGCGAGGGAGGCAGGTTACCCAACGGCTTTTTCTTTCTCTCCGTTCATGCGCTGATTAACAACCCAGGCTGAAAAACAGCCCTGGGTCGCTACTGCAGCTGCTACGCATGGCATCATCTCGACGTTGCGAACAAGCTCACAAACACTTACTTCGTCACATGAGGCACGAACCCATTAACTTTTGACAGCGAAAAAAAATGCTTCGTGGCTGCCACAAATGAACCGGCCGCACTCTTTGACTTCATGCCGCGGTTTACAACCTCACCACGGTACCTTCCGCGATCCGCATCACATGCAGTGCGTGTACAATGGAACGATACATATGCTTGTACAACACGGTCAGCGGTACGATTACGGTCCCCCGGTGCACAAAACGATCTGACAAAACGCAGCGCGTGACGTGACATGTCTTGTGGGTCGGGGTCGCACCTCTCGAAGGCAAATGCGAAGCTCCCGGAGGTAGTGTTCTTCCTGCTTCTTCAGCGACTCGTCCTCCGGTTCCTCCCGTTCCTCCTGCAACGAACCAACGAACCAACACGCATCGCAGCCAAGGTAAAACACGGGAACGAAGCATTGTAATTGGCAAGCACAGCCGGGCAAAGATCCATGAGCTTTAGCTAGGCTGTCCAACACCAACAAGCCGACTCCTAATCATTTTGATAAATGCGGGGGCTGACACAACACCAAACCAAATGGGTTACTACTCTGGACCTGAATGGCATCAGATCGACTATGGTTTTTCGTCAGAACAGACGACAGCGGCGCGCGTTGCTTCCCAGCAACAAAACACACACGCTCATTCGTAGACATTGCCATCAGGAAAACGCACACCATGGCCGGTGGCATGCAATACCTGTCTCTCGGGAAGTGGCGCCAGCGGCAGGGGTGGCGGAGGGGTCTTCTTGGCCCGTTCGCCTCTAGACCCCCGGGCGCAAAAAGCCTTTTTTAGAGTTTCAGCCAGCGTCGACAGCATCTCTTCGGGGGATGGTGGCACAAAGACAATTAGATAAGACACAAACAAAACACACAAACATGTGCACAGACAGAGAAAGGGAAAGAGAGATACAATTAGAATATCAGAGCGCGGCGCGTGGTCAGGCAGGCGCGTGCCAGACAAATTGAGAAGAAACAACAACGACGATCCAGGCGTGTTAACGTGCGACTAAAGGACTGTCAGCCAGGAACAAATCGAAACACTCGGGGCAGGACAGACGGATGGCAAAGCTGCAAGACGAGAGGAGGACTACAGCCATAAGCGCCACAGCAGGGGGGTGTACAGGTACCAGGGGGGTGTACAGGTACCTGTTCCGGATTCACGAAAGATCTCGCAACGATAACAACAACATCAACCCAAGAACAACGCGAGACCACGCATGCATCGACAACCCAACCTTTTTAACACGGGTCCGTCCTTCTGGAGAGAGACCAACACATCATCACCACCGACATCCCTCCCATCCCCTACACCCTCCCCGCATAAACCACACCACACAACAGCAGTTTGTTTCTACTTGTGTTAAAAAACAAACGTCAAGCATGTTATCCCACGTACGGCTGCATTTGGTGCAAATATGGTTGCTTCGAGCTGACCCAGGAGAGAGGGGGGGGCTCGGCATCGGGCCGGTTGACAAGGGGGAGGGGGGGGGGGGGGAGGAAAATAAATTAACCCTAATTCCCCTCCCCCAAAAAAAAAGAAAATGGGGGGACATTCCCCCCCCCCACCTTGTACGAAGCTCTCTCTCTGCTTGTCCCCGGTGAGGGCCATCTCTATCGCCCCGTTCCACCCCACACGCTCCCCCTCCTCTCCGTCTCCGTCCACCGAACCCCCGACTCCTGCGGCGCCCCCTCCGCCCCAAGCGCCGCTAGCCCCTAGGCCCCACGGCCCCTCCTCGCCGCGGCTACCTCCGAGCAGGGCGCTGATGAGCTGTTTGCTGCTGCCTGAGCGTGAGGCTGACGCTGCTGCCTCCCGTCACCGACAAAACACAGGAGTTAGGGGTGGGGGCAAAGGTTCGGCATCGTCTCACTTTGGTCGGGAAACATTCTAATTGCGGTATTGGGGGGGGGGGGGTGTCGATGGCCGGACATGACATTTCCACAACAGAGTCCGAAATGGCTTAAAGTGAGGGAAAAATCGAAGCTAAATTACATGCCTTACGAATCTAAATAGTGGAGAGATGATGCACATAGCCGATGTGTTTCGGAGGCACAGCAGCCGGTAAAACTTGCGGCATGACTGGCACGCAATACCCCGGTACGGCGATCCGAGAAAAGAGGGGAGCCGGAGAAAAAACGTTGCTGAGCGAGAGGGGATCGAAAGCTGTCGCGCGGACGCTTTTTCATCGCCGTCACAAAAAAAAAAAAAAATCCTCCTCCCTTTCTCATCGTCCTAAATAGCGCCGTGCAAGACTTCTTACCCATCTTGTAGACGTAGTCTCCGAGCGCGCCACCCCCTCCCCCTCCCCCTCCTCCATTCCCTCCATCCTCGGGCTTGGTCTCCCAGGTGCTTACCACCAGGATCGGCCACGTGTCGGGAATGTCGTCCAGCAGGTTGATCAGCAGAGTCCTGAGCGAGACCCAAAATACCATTGGTTTGTTTCGCGGAAGCAGCAAAAGGAAACAGGAAGCGCGATCGAGGAGCTGGTCTTCAACATCGGCGGGGAAAAGCGATATATATCAAAGGACAACTGATACCCGATCCATGCACCTAACGGACAACGCACTGCCCCAACGCCTACACGGTGTGGTGTCACGTCAAGGTTGTTTCGCTCCGTCCTCTGCCGCTAAAGGTCGGTTTTGTCTGCAACCACCGTCCGTGGCGGCCTCAAACGTATCCTCTCCCTACAGCTTCTTTCGCTGGTTTCTTCCGCTCAGTGAGGCACGCGGGCGGGTTGCGACACCTATCATCACCGCTATCTACACACACACACACATCTGACATGCAGGCTGCTACGCATTTCTGCGCCCATCTCCACCGCTACTACCTCCTAAAGACACAAAGACACACACACACCTGAGGTGCGGGTGGACCGCCGCGTCCTCGCCGTCCCACCACTGGTGGGCGCCCGGCAGGTACAGGACGCTGGGAACGTTGCGCCTGGCCTCCACGAACCGGGACACCAGCGACGCCTCCGCCGTCCTCGACGGGTCCCCGTGCAGGCTGTGCAGCGCGAGGGAGTGCACCGGGACGCCGTCCAGGAGGTGGAGGGCCGCGGCCGCTAGTTGGGTCTGCCCGCACCTGTCGTCGCAATGGCCGTTACGGAACAAGTAGAATCGAGGCAACAGAAAGGAGTTGTGAGAGAAACGCCGCCGTCAACGCAGAAAAACGTCGTCGTTCCAGAAGGAAGCACAACGAGAATCAAGGCAGCAGAAAGGAGTTGTTAGAGAAACGCCGCCGTCATCGCAGTGTTTGCGGCAAAAGGGCAGAACAACAGCAGCAAGATGTATGGCAAGAAACGCGAAGGGGGGCGGAGGAGAGACCGGTGTTGACGTTGTCATGCTTTCGTCGTTGTGAGGCGAGGTGCTGCACCACACACACAGCGGCGATGTCGCCCCCCAGAGAAAAGCTAGCTCTACGGCAGTCACGGAGGGTTCATGCGGACGCCTGTTGCGGCTGCGATGCAAATCAAAGCGAGCACAGCAGTGCGCCGACGGCGATGATGCATGACGCGACCCGGACTCCGACAAACAACACTCACACCGACACACCTACCGGCGCCCAAAAGAATGCACTATTTACTGCTGTCGGTTTGGGAGGCCAGACGCAAGACAAACAACCACCACCCCCACCACGGAGTGTTCCCTGACTCTCTCTCTCTCTCTCTCTTTCTCTCTCTCACCCCGGGGGCCCGTGCAGCGCGAGCCTAGGGCGGTGGACCCAAGTCGATCCCACCCCGGCTTCCGTCCCCCTACCCTTCCCACCCCCGCCGCCGCCGCTGATTCGCAGTCCCGCCTGCTTGCCGACGACGCCCCCGCCGGGCACCAAGGACAACGCCGGGTTGTCACCACCCAGCGGCGGCATCCCCGCGATTTCCCCGTGCGGGTGGCGGCGTTGCCCTCCCCCCCGCCGCCTCTTCTTTTTCCCACCCCCAAGCCCCCCGTCGTCGTCATCGGAGGAGGAGGAAGAGGCACACGAAGAGGATGAGGAGGAGGAATGGTCTTCGTCGTCCGACCAGCTGTGATCATGATCGTCGTCCTCGTCGTCGACGCCGCCGCCGCCCTCTCCGTTGTCGGAGGCGCCGCCTCCGAGGTCTTTGCCATAAGAACCTTGCGGGAACTGGACCTTTTATCGTGTGTAGCGGGGGGGGGGGGGGGGGGGGAAGGAGGGGGGGGGGGGGAAAACCCACCACCACCCCTTTTTTCTTATAAAAAAGTCTTTTTTTTTTGAAAAAAAACCCCGGTTTTATTGTTTCCCCCAACCCCCCCCCCCAGAAACGGCCCCCCTGGTATAAAAAAAGGGGGGGGGGGGGGGGG